GGGCGCAGCAGGGACACGCGGAATGAGGCTGGCGAAGGCACCCTTCCTGATCAGAGTACCAGAGCCCCCTGCTCCGGGAAACTCTCCACCCGAGTTGTTGGAGTTAGGACCTCAAACCCCGCCGTCCCCTCTACTTAAAATCCCCAGGAGGTGCCCTTGGCACACAGAGGGGGCTCCAGCCCGGGCCCTGGTCCCTTCCTTGCTGGGAGGCCTTGGCTGAGAGACTGGCCCTCTCTCAGCCTGTTTTCTTCTCTGCAAAATGGGGGCGCCCGCGGCCCCCCACCCAAATGCAGCTGCCCAGCCTCCCTCTCTGAGGCGCTTCCTCCCCCAACTGCACCAACTGTGCGGCGAGGGGGCTGGAGGGAGTCTGGGAAGCCTGAGAGGCTGTGGGAGGTGGATCAGGTCTGAGTCTGGTTGTCTCCACCCAAAGTTTCCATTCCTGGCTCTGCCCCCGGCCTCTTCTCCCTCTGCGGGTGCGGCCCCAATGGGGTGGGGAGGAGGAGAGGGAGAGGTGGGCTGTAGGCTGGGTCTCTGCCCAGCTCCCCCACCTCCCCTGTTCCCTGCCTTCCAGAACCCCCTGTCAGCGTTCCCCGTCGGGCCCCACCCTTCACACCTGGATGCCTCTTCTGGAGTCTTGGGCTATGGGGACTGCAAATGGGCCTGGCGGGGGTCCCACTTTTCCCTCTTCCTTGGTCTGGGTGGTGTTGGGTCCTAGGACACCCCTCCACTCTACCCCCTTGTCCTGAACACCAGGTGGGACAGAGGAAGGAGGTTCTGGGAGGTGGAAGGAGAGACGGAGACATAAAGGAGAGAAACAGGCAGGAACTCATGGGACAGAGAGTCAGAGATGGAGGAGACAGAGAGACAGACTAGGGCATTTACAGAAACAGAAAAAAGCAGACAGGAACTTCCAGAGATGAAGAAGCCAGAGCCACGGTCCCCATGGTATTGCACAGATGTGTTTTGGGGGCAAATTGCTTCTCCTTTCTGAGCCTCAGTTTCCTACCTGTCAAATAAGGGTGATCGATGCCTCTCCCTCAATGGCTGTATGAGATCACTGCTCTCTTGCACACGCCGGGCAGGCCAGAGGCTGGTAAAAGGCAGCTATTGTCATTTTGGATTCCCTCCTTCACCCATATTTACTGAGCACTTGCTGTGGGCCGGGCACTGCACCAGGCACCAGGCACACAGCCTTGACCATCAGCAAACTAGCCTGCCCCTCTGCGCTCCCTTTTCTGTTATTACCATTGTTGCCATGGTTATTATATTTCAGAAGCATAAACTGGAATTTTGGTGGAGACACATCCTTAGCCCTGGGCAGCAGGTCCTAACCTGGGAGAGAGAGGGGTCCCGAGTTCCAGCCCACAGCTTAGCCTCGCGGGACTCAAGTTTTCCATGATGAGATGGGCCTGAGAGTCTTCTCGCCACCGGGCAGCAGGAAGGAAGGGCTGGTAGGATGGGGGCTCCATGAGCCTCCTACGTTGTTGACATTTTTATTATTATGAACTGTTCCTACCATTATTAGCTCAAAAGAGGAGGGCAGCACACCTGGGAATCCTCAGGGACTGCCGGAGTGTCAGAGGCCTTAGACAGAGGGTGCGGGGGGCCAGCATGGCCCCAGGGCCAGGGTCGGTGCCAGGTGTGGGCGGTGGGTGTGGAAAGGGGTGAGGGTGAGTCAACAGGGCCAGCCGCGCCCTGCTTTTGCTTAAGGCCCCAGCAGCCATCCCTGGCAGCGCCGCCACCCGGCCCGTCCCGCTGTCCCAGCCATGGCAGGGAGCTTCGTGAGTGCTTCAGGGGCCCTGGATGTTTGTGGGGGGTGGACCCAAGGCTGCCCAGACCCGGGGAGGGGGGACCAGGCTGTTTCAGCGGAGAAAGTGGGTGCTAGGCTGTGCTATGGAGTTCTGGGCTGTGGTTTCTGGGTTGACCCAACCCGTCCCCATGCTCCCATCTCCCCCTTGGCTGGTTTCCTTTTGCCTTCTAGCTCTTAGGACATTTTTCTGTTGACTTTGTGTTCCTCTCTCCAACTCTTTCCCTTCCTTGGCTCTCATTCCTTTGTCTCTGTGCCCTTTCTTCTCTCGGATTCTGCTGGTCTGGGTCCCGGTCACTCTCCCCCTGGAGCTGACCCATCTGTGTCTCTCCTCCGCCTCCCTGATTCACCTTGGCCCCCACACCCCTGTTGCTGCAGAACGTGCCCCACAAGACCTCTCTGCCCGAGGGCATCCGAGTCGGTACCGTGTTGAGAATTCGTGGCGTTGTCCCGGACAAGGCTGGCAGGTGAGAGCCCCGGCCTCGGTGTGGGAGGGTGGGGGGAGGTCTCCAGGCTCAGCTGATCCCACTTCTTCCAGCCCAGAGCCCAGGGCCCCAGGCTAACTTTGCCCACGTGGGTCTTGGAATCCCTGAGTTACTTCTGACCTGGAATTTGATGTCCTCACTTACCTGTCCCACGACTGTGTGCCTGGAGTCGACATTATTCTAAGAAATTGCAGGTCCCAGAGGAATCCACGGTTCCTACCTAGAGTCCTGTGAGTTTCAGTCTGAGTTCTCAGGAATTCTGGAATTGTCCTGTGAATTGGAGGTGCCCTGAGATCCCTGGCCTCTTGCACATGCTGGGCAGGCCAGAGGCTGGGTAAATGGCAGCCTAGCCAATCAATCATATGACTTCCTGGGTCGGGATCTTCAGGATTTCTGGGAGTCTAGGCTGCCTGGGCATACTGGGGTCCCTGGTATGCGTCCTAGCCCTCTGGGAACTGAGGATGCCTTGGGAATCGGGAGCACCCTGGTCTTCAGGAGCTTGATTCCTTGGCAACTCCAGACTCTGGAAATGAGGGGGACCCAGGCCACAGCTTAGTCACCCTCGCCTAGCAGATGTGTGTGCAGGCCCCCAATCGGTTTTTGGATGGCCTGGAATCTGGGCTCCCTGGCTTCCAGTCTACAACCCGTCCTTCACTGGTGTGTGGGACAGTCCAGGTCCCTGTAAATTTGTTCGTGCTCTGGAAAAAGGTAAGTCCTGGTGTGCTGGTCCAGAACCTCTTTCCAAGGCGTCCTCTTCCCCCATCACCTACCAGGTTCTATGTAAACCTGCTGTGCAGTGAGGAGCCGGGCGGTGAGGCCGCCCTGCATTTCAATCCTCGGCTGGATGAGTCCACCGTGGTCTTCAACACCCTGGAGCGCGGCGCCTGGGGCCAAGAGGAGCGGGGCTCGGGCATTCCCTTCCAGCGTGGGCAGCCCTTCGACGTGCTCCTCATCGCCACCGAAGAGGGCTTCAAGGTGCGTCTCTGCCACAGGGGTGGGTGCCAGCACCCAGGTCTCTTCCCTTGGGAAGGCCAGGAAGGCCCTTGGGGCGAGGTGGAGAGCAAAGGTGCGGCCCAGGCTGGGCAGGGCGTCCCCAGGCCCTCACCTCCCCTGGTGCAAGCGCACTAATCTCTGGCGCAAGCGCACTAGTGCCTGAGGGCAGGTGTGTGGCCGTGGCAAGGCGAGAGAGCAAGAGCCAAGTGACCAAAGGGTAGGTGTCAGGGGAGGGCGTCAGGGAGGAGGGGAGTGAGACGTGGCCCAGACTTTCATCCCCGACCCTATTGCCTGTCTGCTTGAGTCTGTGGTGGAGGCTCAGGGGCAGGAGCATGGATGGGTTGGGAGACAGGACCCAGAAACAAGGTTCAGCAGGGAATGGTCGCTGCAGACCCTTCATCACACAGGCTATTCTTCACTTTCAATCTGCGCATCAGGAGTCAGGTGGTGAATGCAGGGATCGTGGTCACAACATCCACCTCCAATGCTTAAAAAGCACTCACGTGTCAACAATGAGCTCATTTAATCCTCACGGCAAGGGGTTAGGATGAACAGTATTTGCCCAATGGGGCCTGGGGACCGAAGGGGCCCGTGGGTGCCCAGGTCACGCAGCGTGAGTCCAAGCTGGGAATAACCTGGCAGTGGCCTCGGGACCCATAAGCCATGTCCCCTCTCCTGTGCAGGCTGTGGTCGGGGACTCGGAATACCACCACTTCCGCTACCGCATCCCGCCGGCGCGCGTGCGCGCGTTGGAGGTGGGCGGGGACCTGCAGCTGGAGCTGGTGAAGATCTTCTGAGCCCTTCCAGGAGCGCGGGTGGGGGTGGGGCGCAGGGGTCTTGGGTGGCAAATAAAGTCTTAGCCGCTTATCTGTGCGCCTCGTGTGTGTCTGTGGCTCCTTCATATGGATGAGGAAAGTAGGTTCAAAGCAGTTAAGACACTGACTAAGAGTCACACAGCGATTCCGCAGCGGGGCGGGATCCGGGCGTGGATCTCTCTGGGCCATTTCTGTCTCGGGAGGCCACAGGAGGGTCGCGGTCTGGTAGGGGTGGGGCTTTGGCTCGCCTTCCTGCAGCATTCGGCAAAGCAGCCAGGTTGTAACGGGGTCGGGTGACCTGAGGCAGTTTGGA